CAGCTTCATAACATATTGCTTGTGATTATGAAAAAATCACTGCCTTCAGACGTAGTTGAGACTCGTGACGTCCAAATTCGCTTTATATATTACATTTACTTAATTCTGTCAATCTTCTTATTCTTTAAACGTTGACGGAGATAAGATCAAAAAACGTCAACGAAAATGATGTTGTTGAAGCTTAATGAAGAGTTTGAAAGAAGGAATAGAAAGTGCATATATGTTTGGCAGAAGGCCGCCAGAAAAAGGAAAGATCGTAGAAAGAGGGAACCAATTTCCTTCTGAGACTTGCCGTCATCGTCTTCATCAGCGTTCTGAATCCGCATATTTGAATGTTTCCGAAGCAAACACGAATTCGGAAAGTCGATATACATCAGATAATAAGCCAGAGACAAGTGTACTTCGAAGAAGAGAGGATTTAGCTTCTGCTTACATTTATCGATATATTGTGCATGTTGTTTTCTTAATTTCTAACAATTTCTTACTTATAGATTCTGAAAGAGGAAAGCATACTAGGAAGGAAAGAATTTGTGGCCAGAATAGTCTCTTTGGTTGTTACCCTGGTTTCCATAATAATTTTCGATTGAGGGAAGTTCTCAAATTTCTCGTTCAGCAATAGAATTTACAGCTTATTTCTGTCTGATTTCGCAGATATGACGGGGACAATATAATAGATTTACGATTATAATAATAATAATAGCATAGAGAATCCTTATTCGGTAGTTTACATTGTAAACTTGTAAAAACAACGGGAGTACGGCGTCATTTCGTATCGTAAATGAACAAATGCAAATCACTTTAAGGTTTGGGTTCTCGATCTCCTTAAACTTTTGTCATATGATTTCATAATTAATTATTCAAATATAGTCTTTGATAGTCTTAGAATTAATGGATAAGTAGTACCGAGAATGATAGTTGTTGCGTGAAAATCAAATGACGACCCTTTCAGTCTCGACGATGATGTCAAGAAAGAGAGACAGACAAGACGAGAGCTAGAGAAGCAGAAAAAAGGAACTTTTTCGAGAAAAACATGCAATCGTCGAACGAAGTACTTATCAGGAAAACAACGAACGTCTAAAAAAGTCCTATACAGTTCAGTTGAACTTAATTCCCTTTTTTAATTCTTTTTACGTTCAGGGAATATCTAAGAAGCTATCCAAGCTTACGCTTCTCCTTTCGGAAGATTTATGACGATAGCAAAACATACTTGACCTAGCTCTATTTCAATGAATCTTGTTTTCAAAACTGCCAGGTAGAAGTGAATGTTCGAAGCTTTTTTTTTTGCTTCATGCCGTCAAGCTGGCGATAGATCACTCAATACTCGTTTTTTTTTCAATTGGGACAGGTTCTTATCGTTTAAAACTCGGCGAGTTTCAACTTGTAAAGTTATTTAAAGCCTTATGTAGAATTCGCAAATGATGCTCTCGAACATTAGGAACTGTCTGTAACTGGCATTAAACTGGCTTATGCAGAATTTATGATGACGAAATAGGAGGAAACGGATGCTGAGGGTTGAAAGACAGATGAAGGGAAAGAAGAGGGGGTAAGAAGGGAGAGTGTAAGAAGAAAGGAAATAGATAGAAGGGTGTGTGTCTGTGTGTGCGTTAGGGAACCCAGTTCCACCTTCTCAAATGTCATCGTTGTCGTCAACTGACAAAGCTTTAAATGTATAATTTTATAAGTAAACGTGATTACGTGAAATGTTGATACGTTGACGTCAGCTATTGAATATAACAATTTCATATCGCCTCTCTGCTTTTCTAACATAAAACAGAGGATGTTTACGTTGGGTCTGGACACATAGACTGAACATTTAACCTGTTGAACATATTATGTTTTCTTCCAAAAAAGGTCTTATCATCTTTCAACAAAATGACAAACATCTTGATTTCTATGTCGATAGCTCTCTTTTCTCATCTATTTCTTTTCGTTGTTCTCTTCGATTTAAGTGTCTCTGTTTATACGCATG